CTACTAGAAAACTAAGAAAAGAATGTATTTCTAGGTTAGGTTAAATGGAGTCAAAGTGCCCAAGTAACCTACCCTAGAAACAATATACAATAGCTACTAAAAAGGAAATAAAGTGCCTCACAAATACAAAGGCAAAAATACACCTATACAAGTATCTACTATATACAAGGTACAAGAAATCAAACTATACAATGTATTTACAATAGAGAATATGAGACTAACAAGAGGAATCATACTCAATACTCATATTGAGCATAGGTCTAAGAAGCACCTCCTCTCTAGAAGCCTCCTAACCATGGACCTAGTTAAAGGCCCAATGGTCTTCAAGTGTGAGCATCCTTGGATCACCCTTCACCCTTCTTGGTCTTACCTCTTCCAAAGGGATCATTGGGGATTAGATTTCCATCATAAGGAAGACAATTTCATTGTGAATTATGATAAAAATATAGTTAACAGAGATATACCCTTGTTTGGACTCAATGGAGGTTTCAGCTCGAAAGAGGCTTCACCTTGTGAAGATTGGTGAAGGGATTCTACAGTCATCAAAGGTTCAGTTGAAGGAACCTTTCCTTAATCAACCTGAGGGGGAATTTCAATTGAAGCAACAGTCGAAGCCATCTCAGCAACATTTAATTGCGGAATGGTCAACTGCAAACAAATGTTGAGATTAGAAGAAAAGACTAAGGAAAGACAATAAAAAAAGGGGCAAACCTGTTGAGATATTTCAGTAACGGGAGGAATGTCTCTTGACATTTCCCGAGAAAGTCGATTTGGATGATTTCGACATCCTGTGATGAACAAAGATTAGAAAATCGAAGCAGAAAAGAAAGTTAATCGAAATAAAAAAATGGAAGTACCTTGGGAACCGATTTCATCGCATCTTTGAGGAGTTTCTCAACAGGAGGCTTTTGTACCTTCTTAGAGAGGGAAACCACTTGCTTACCCTTCCCTTTGTCAGGCTTCTTCGTACAAGAGAATAGATATGGTCGAGGCTCGAAATAGAGTAAGAAAACATGTTAAGGTAAAAGATTACTCACTGTTTTGGTACTAGTCGAATCTGTTCTCTGTTTCTTCAAAGTTTCAAGGTTCTAAATGTCAAGAGACAAATTAGAAATACGGAATAAATCTAAAAGTTCGACTAAAAGACTTACATCGAAAAAGTTTTTTTACCTTGGAAAGCAAAGAAGCCTTATCAGAGGCAGTCTTTCTTTTTCGAGCTTTCAATAATGACCCTTTTGCATCACCATCATCATCACTCTCCCAATTGGGAGTCTGTTCAACGTGTTGTGGAACACGTTGAGGAATAGCAACTGTATAGCACACAACATAGAAAGAAGATGAGATAAATACAAAGTGAAATTTGAGAAATTTTCTTAGTTATAGTCATTTACCAGGGGGAGGATTGGTGTTATCGACCCAACATAATGGCCACCATCTCCTTCAAGGAAAATCGTATAAGGAACATCTCGCTTAGGTGACTCTATTCTTTACAGGGACCTCTTTACGCTCGAGGTAAAGTGGGTCAAGTGTTTTTACCCAAGAGGGATAAGATAAATATTTAGCTAAACCAAAAAGAGCGTTTGGAAGAGGAGGTATGTGTTTAGGACAAAAATTTTCGAAATCAGTTTTTCCTTGAGGATTAATTACCTTTTTCGAGCGAATGTTCCTTTGTACAATTTTCGATAGAGAGACAGAGGCGTCGAAGATGGTTCGACCAAGGTTGTCAGGCCGATAACAAACTTTAAAAAATTGTTCGAATTAATAAATAATAATTTGATTCTTATAAGTACCTGATTGTTTTGGACCCTGCGAAGAAGAAAGAGGAGAATTGATCAGCTTCCTTAAAAAATCATCAAAGTCGACAATTTTATCTACATAATATTCACACCACCATCGAAGATAACACTTCGAGACTAAGAAGGAGGGAGAAAAAGAGCAAGGTGTGAGGTGAAGCTGTTTATCAAGACGCAAGATAAAATCCAACACTTCTTCATAATTTCCTGTCTCAACACAAATGTCTGCGTCGATGCTCTCTTTGCATCGAAGTGGAAGGGATTTTATTTGACAAAGTCCAAATTGACGGGCAAAAAGTTGAGGCTGGTAAGGGTAAATCCTAACATCTTTTTGTCGCATGCCCGACATAATCACATCCCAAGATAAAAACCCGAACCACATATCAGTCGAATCAGGAGTGATGTTCCAAATTTGGTTATTCTGTCGAAGCCAAGGAGGACCTAATAAAGTCGAACGTATAAAAGGGGCTAAGTCTTTAGTGAATTCAGTAAAGCTCAGGATGGCATCAATGTATTTCGCGAAATTATCCACAGAACGCTTGCGAGGGGTAAGTGTGGTTAAACGAGCTCCCTCGAGGGCACATGTTGAAGTGAAAGATGAGGTCAACGAAAGCTTTTTCTCGAAAATAGCGTTGAGCCATAGTTGGAGTAGCCATAATGGTCCAGAGAGATTGCGAGGACCGAACTCTCGAAATAGACTTTCTGAAGCTTCATCAAGGCAAGTATACAAAGAAGCCAATAGAAGTTTGCTTAAACAAATTTTCTTTTTCAAGTGAAGAGCTTGGGCTAAGATGTAGTAATACTTAGGAACTTGAAGAGATGGGGTGCAAAACACGCAGGCAGATAACCAATACATCAAGAAGGCAATATGCTCTGAGGGCGAGACAAGGGTGTCTGGGTCTCCTATATGAGCGTTGATGAAGGCTAGGTAGGTTTTCTTATCCCAGGATATCGAAGTTTCCTTGATCGAAATCTCTTCTTCGAACAGATCAGGATAAAATCTCTCCCCAGTGGGTTCCAAACCGGTAATAGCCGCAATATCGAGTAAAGTAGGACAGACAAAACCACAAGGAAACTCGAAAGCTCGAGTTTCTCTATTCCAGAAAAATATAGCTGAGAGAAGCATTTGGGGGTCGAAGTAATGCAAATCGAATTTGGCTAATTGGATAAATTCAGATATACCCGTTTCTACCCATGCAAAATGCATTGAATTTTCTACACGAGATAACCATGCTAAATGTCTATCTTTGGTGGGAGGGAAAGCCCTAAAAATCTTGGTTGTATCCCCAAACAATGATAGGTCAATTTCATCAGAGTGTATGAAAGGAAGAGTGGAAGGATCCTCAGGCAATAAGGTGTTGCCAAATCTTTTCTTATTTTGACCAGCAAAAGGGCCTAGAAACGCATGAATAGAACCACTTTCTAGAGAGAAAGGAGGAAGTACTTGCGATTGAAAGATCTTCAGACTTGCTTCCTCCATGCCTGGAATAGGGATGAAGGTATCGTCCCCGTCTTTGACCTTGCTAACTTGGGCATTGGTCATTAGTAAAGGACCAGTCTGAGTAGAAGTTGCAGTGGCCATGGTCGTTACAGGGGTTATGACAGGAGACGTAGCAATGGCCAGAACAGGGGACGATGTAGTGGCAGTAGTAGGAGAAACAGTGGACACTACAGCAGCAAAAGTAGACGCAGTAGAAGAGGCCATAATGCTTGAAGAATATAGAAGGAGAAGTTTGGAAGGAAGAAGAACAAGGGTACCGGAGAAGAAAGAAGCCAAGAAACAGAGCAAAGAAAGGCAAGGAAGCTTGAGCGCGAAGGAAGAATGAAGCAGAATGGTAAAAAATAAATCCACTCTAGGGTAAAAAGAAAGGTTTCACGCGTTAATGGGCGTGGGGTAAAATGGGTTTACCAAATCAAATCAATTCAAATTTTAATTTTAAATTCATAACAGCTGCCAAAACGTTTTACTCAAGAAACTGACTTATGAAGAAACGTGAGCACGAGCCGTCAGACTAATAAATGTCACATCTAACGGTCACTACATTAAATGAATTGTTAGAAGTAGGTTTTCATCGAAGGAATACAAGTTGCAATCGACAAGTCAAATTCGATCAATAATCGAGAAAAAACTCTCGATAGGAATTTTGTTTTTTGTCACTAGTGTTCATCAAGACCGAATTCCTAAGGGGACATTTGTTAGGGGTACTTGAAAACCAGGCAAAATCGAAAGATACCCTTATGATGCTACTCGAGAGAAAGATAAAAAATCAACACCTACCTGGAACGTATAAGTCTTATTTATGGTCGAAAAATTAGGCAAATCGAACAAATATTGCTCGAAAAAGTGAGGAGAGGTTGGTGGAGGTTAGTGACGGTTAGAACACACCAGGATGGATACTAAGGGTCGAATCAAGAAATGAGAGACGTGGGACGAGTGGTTACGAGAAGTTATATTTTAATCCCATGTAATGAACTTAGTAGATAACGGTTATGCTCCAATAACGCACATGCATAATATTAACCGCCCTTGATTGGACCTATAAATATGAGTAATGTATCGATGTACAAGGGTCGGAAAACTCATACTAGAACTGAAGTCTCAAGCACTCTCTGCCTGCGCATATGGCTTTTGTGCAAGGAATTATTTTTGGATATGAATACTTCTCGGCCATTTTTCTTTTCACTTTATAGGAGTAGAAGTAGAGTAGTTTCTTGTTCGTCTTTTAATCTCACGTAGTGTACTTTGATCAATATGCTGTAACGTGTAATGTAATTTGATCACTATGCGAAGTGAACCATGATTTGTATTGTTAATATATGTGTTGTTCATTCCGTACATTTGAGTGTTTATATACATGAACATTATTGCTTGATAATAATTAATGAATATTTAGAGACAAACAATCATTAGAACTTTCTACTCGGTCTCTCTTCCTGCATTACATTTCATAAATTCATAAAAATATCAAATACCTAAATTGAAACATTTTTGTGCTAGTTCGAATAAAAAGAATCCGTAAAAACCAATTCCACCATAAACAATAATATAAATTATTTATTATAAATGTCAAATATAATTTATATATTTAAAATATTTATTTATATAAATTATATATATAATTTATTATAAGTTTTAGTTATATATAATAAATATTTTTTTTACATACTAAAATATTAGTTTGTAAAAGAAATTAAAGAACCATTCGGTATAGTAATAGTGAAAAATGAAATATTAATTTGTTTTTTATACACTGCACAAAGCTTTCCTACTGCCCAAAAAACTCGAGCAAACGAAACGCGATTACATGCGCTGTATGATCTACATAAAAATTTCAATTTCAGGCAATAATATTACACGTTTCTGGACAATCTTCTTATTGCCACTGTTGAACACCGCTTTGGTCAGTTGGTGAGGATGGAGCAACTGGAACAAACCCTCTACCACCAAAAACTGGACGCATAAATGTATTATCAAACTTACGCCATAAGCGATGAACAGTATGCGTTGGAGTTGTTAGTAAGGCACGAATACTGTTTGGACGATGAATTTCATTGACATCAAGGTCGTTTTCAGAATCTTGGGAGCCTCCAAGAAAGGGTACAGTGATTGATTTGGGGGAATTGTGACATGAATCTATATTTCCGATGATGTTTATGCTTGTAGGAGGGTGAGTGACAGGCAACAAAAACCTTATGAGTGGCTTAGTCATCAAACCAAACACCTGACAAGTTGTCATTAAATTGTGTCAGCACCACCTCTAAAGAATTTTCTTTTGAAACTGAGGTATACATTTTTTCAGGTCCCAATCCCCCTCAACTTAGTTAACTGTAAGACACATTAAAGCATATAATTGAGTGGTTTTTAAATTTCCCATCTTATATTGCGAGCTGTCTCAATTCTAAAATGGTTAACCTAGGCTAGGACTAATTGTCAGCAAAGCAGAAAGCAAAATCTCTATGAATAAAACCATGAACAACACTGACATATGGTGTAAGAAATTTACAAGAAGCAAGCATCTTACCATGGTGCTGACAAGCACAACAGAGATGGTGCTGGTGATCATGATGGCATTGGTTCGCAATTCAGTGTGACCCGACATCGTGAACTGCATTTTACAAGAGTGTCAGTTTCTAAAAAACATCTAACTTTAAGATCGTATTGGAGGTACAGTAATAAACTTCAGGCTGCATCACCTGATACATCCTGCGAGGTGAATGCAACAGCAATTTAAACTTGATCCTATCTACACTACACTGACCATTAACTCTAATTTGACAAAAACAATAACCCCTAATAAACAACGTCGCTCTTACCTGATTGTAGGCAAGTGCCATTGAAACAGCACCTCTCATAAGACCAGCCCACCAAATGATCACCTAAAGCGAGAAAGAATGAAAAATTTGTCAACAGAACCTTAAGGCCCAAGAAATTCTGAAAGAGAATACTTTCTGAGTTTTGATAGAGATCTAGCCATACCTGCTCCCTGAAACTTATTCTTTCGCTTGGCGACTTTTTAGTGAGGTTGGATAAGAAGGATAGGGGAAAAACAAATGCTGCTCTCCCTGCAAGTACTAGACCCAATAATACTGAACTCACAGCAACAGATGTTTTAGGCCTGCAGAAGAAGAAACCCTATGATGCACAGATACGATACGCGTATCGGATACGATACGTATCCGATACGGCGATACGCTTATTTTAAGATATATAAGATACGATACTTGTAAGATACGTGTCGTCATATATATCAATGTTCATACAACATAATAATTGTGTACTTGTAATTTTGATCAACATTCATAAACATTAAATATATAATTGCTATTTTGCAAATCCAAATTAAAAACATACTTATTGTACATTACTAAAAATAATTATAAACCATTTTATCATAAATTATTTTTTATTATTTACAAATAGAAATAATATTACCAATTTCATTCCTTTCTTAAAATTATCTATGTAGAAGTAGAAGACAATTTTCATTTACAGTTTATCAAGGATCAATATTTCTATGTTTTTATATTAAAAATGTTTATATATCTTATTTAGTTGTAATGGATATTTCATAATTTTTCAAAAATTTGAATACTTTAATGATACGTATCACCGATAAGCATCGGTGAAGTATCTGAGAATATCGAGATTGAATAAAATTTTCATAATATTTTCAAAAGTTAGAATACTTCATTGACACGTATCGGTGAAGTATCCAAGAGTATCGTGTCGGATACGTATCGGATACGGATACGTGAAGCAAATTGAAGTATCCGTGCTTCATAGAAGAAACCGAATGAGGCGCATGAAATTTTTTCACTTCCTATAGTTAGAAAAAGCAAGTTTTGAGGAATGTTTGGAAAATTAAAAGATGAAATTTCCAAGCACGGAAAACATCTGTTTCAGTAAAGTGGCTACGTCATATACCATTTGTTGAATAGGTGATACACGATTCAATAATCTTTCATGAATATAAAACAGGGCAAGGAGTTGATGATCATTTTGTCTAGTTTGTGAGAGAACACGGGACTTACCTATCACTAACAAACCTCCACTTTTCAATGTCCAAGGCATCCATACCAACGTAAAGGAAGATAAAGGTTTCAAGAACAAATGAGAGAGTTGCAAAAGCATGCCTGTAAGAGTAAGACAAAAAAACGTGTAGTTTTAGAATATAAAAAAATAAGACAGCGTTACCACCGCCAAATAGATTGGTATATAGCTTGAAGAAATCTGTTTAGAGGATGTACTTAGTAGTGATTCTTGAGCTCTCGGTAACATTATGCCAAGTATAATGAGACATAACAATCCCGCAGAAGAATACAGTTAGAATGCCACTTAGGTACCATAACTGCAGAACATGTAGATATATCACAACCCGCCAATGATTAATGTACCACAAGAATAGATAGATAGAGATAAAGCTCAAAAACAAGACGTACTCCACAAAAACCTCTGAAGTTCTTTAAAACTTACTTCAGCCAGAATGTAGGAAAGGTATGCCATTAGCATCATAAGAGCAACCTCACGATCTGTAGAGTGCCTGTAATATTGAGTGAGCAATTTGTTGAACAGCTATAGAATTGTTATAAATTACTTTCATGGTAGCTCTAAAAAACTTGTGATCACAAGATAAAACATACACAGACCCCAAGAGATTCTACTGAAGTGAAAGAACTCATTTGAAAAATATAAAACAATACAATACTATCATAGTAACTGCTGAATGACAACAGCAATGGCTAAAACACTTGTCTCAAGATGATACCTGCCAATATAGAGCTTCTTAATAATGTAAGCGCTAAGTAAACCAGCCTGCAAGGTGATATGGAGTAAACATATTAGACCAAAGCCATATGCAATATCAATGTGCATGTATGTACTAACTGTTGACTTAGATCTTTTCATGGTGTGAGTGATGTGCACAAGGTGCACACAGAATTAGAGGGTGTAAGGCACTTACCAAAACCCCAAGCAAGGTGCTTGCGACAAACAGATACAAGAAGTTGCCGATAAAATGTAAACCAATTCTGTGGTCAATTTGCTTGAGGTCAAAACTTTGGATTGCATTGAAAAGCACCACAGATGTAGCATCATTCACAACACCCTCGCCAAATACAAGACTGTATAGTAAAGGTGTCTCGTCCTGGTTTAGCACCTGCAACATCATGTATAAAATCAGTACTTAGTAATTACACCTTGGTTACTGGAACATTGCAGAAAGGCACATATTGTTCCAAACCTGCAACGTGCACACAGAATCTGTCGCAGCAAATATTGCACCAATTGCTGAAATTTTTTGAAATATTGAGTCACAAACAGATAGTCAATTGACAATTTGCCAAATAGATGAGATTGAACAACACAATACCTAGATAATCCCCTATTTCCAGTGCTTTACCAATATCCATTCTCTTAAAGATTTGCATGACACCTGAAAAAATGCTTCAAAAATTCAGATAAGAATTAAAGATTTTCCAATGAAGACAGTTTGCTTAACAAATTTAGGTTATAATTAGTAACAATGCTAAACATTTTGTTGTTGTTATGTTAAATTTTAGAGAACAACTTGAGAAATCCTTATAAAGTGAAAAAACATACCGAATGTTATGACGCTACAACTTATTAATGTACCAACAGCACCAAACAGAGTGATGGTCATGAAGTTAACAAAAAACTGTTTCTTCTTCACTTGAAACCTGTAATAATTATGTAACATCAATTGTGTATGCCTTGCTCTCAAATACAACAAATTAGGAAAACACTAAGTAAGATCCCACAAGAAATCTCATAAATTAATTATCAAATACAGCGTCAAACATTAGAGTTTAGACAACTAGTTGGTGCTCAAAACTTTACCCGGCATTAAATATGATAGGTGGCAGAAGGTATATAAAGAAAAGATCTTCACTGAAAACTAGAAGATGTGAGCTTTTACCGCGACTCATCAACAATATCACCACGCCAGTGCAAAGACCCTGCACATAGCGATTAATTCAATCATTTATATCATTACATACACACATATATGTATACCAAATTGTTTATAGTAATGATCACTTACTATCAAAAGGGCAGTGATAGACTCATTCACCCACCGATTCTCCTCAAGAAGATGTCCAATGACAATACAAGCACAAAGCAGAGCCACAAAAATGTTCATGGACACAACGGAGGCATAATCTGAAGTTGATAGCATTGGCAATTTTGAAAGCACGTAACTTAATTCGCCACCCATTTTGTCAACCCACAATCGTTTGCAATAACCAAATTCAGATTTTCTATGTTTTGTTATACAACGTGCAACGCCACTTCACAAACCAAACCCATGTATAACCAAATTGCCTCGGAGCTGCACACGTTTTAAGAGCCTCCTTAATTAACTTGGATCCATATATTGCAACAACAAATTAAAGTCTCTGCAACGAGAACAATAAATCAAGATGCATGTAAGGATAATTAACAACATGCAAAGATTGGAAAAAACACGTAATAAGTAAAGATAATTTTTCTAACTACAAGTTCAAGATTTCACGTGACATAACGAACATGAAAACGTGAGACTCAGATTGGCAGCGAGATGGTGATGAATGGAATAGCAATTAACGTAGGAGAAAGAAACCAAAGGAACCAAACTCGCGTTCGAGTTCCTCGCAAATTGGTATGTGAAACTTGTATGTTTTTTCAGTTTTAAGGTCTATACAATGATGATTCCAAGGAAGGAAACGAGGAAGAGATGGAAACTAAGAGAAAAATTGCTGTAGATATTTATTTGATTGTAGCAGAAGATAAAAATATAAGACAATGATTGAGAAAACAAGAGACAAAGGAAGACACATAAGCGTGCAACGCGGGGATCACAGACACAGACAGAGAACACAAATGACAATACAAGCCGTTGGTATCCCTTCAAATTTATCTTGTCCAATTCTTGTGGTGTGGGAGTGAATATATACTTGTGTTTGTGTATGCATGTTTTGCTAAAATCTCACTCACCATGTGTATATACTATATAGTATTGTAGGTAATCATTTCACAAAACCAATATAATTAAACTGTGAAGTGTGAAGTGGACCCATTAATAATAAATTCATGTCATGTCTCTTGCAAATGCACAAATGCATCGCTGATCATTCGAAACTTTCCTTTTATGCTTGCTGCCTTAGACCACGATGTAACAATTTCGATATTGTACACGTCTATAACCTCTAATAATAACATATTTTTTTTAAGAATGAAGTCTCCAATTAATGCTAGTCTATTCCCATATAGAAAAATTGATAGCTGAGAGATAATACGAAGAGATAGAAAATGGAAAATGACAAGTGTCTATTAGGGTTTCAAAAAAAATAATTATATTGATAATATATGAACAAATAAATTCAAATACCTAACATATTCTTATCATATAGATTGTATTCATAATTTTAAAATATTTAACACAAATAATCTAAATAGTGTATAATCAATAACCACTAAATTTTTCAATAAAAGTCGTATAAACAATAAAGTTCGTGATTTTCATGCAAAATTTAATATTATGAAGTTATTTTTATACATAAAAAATCATATGTTTGTTAATAAAAAATTTTAAAAATGGATTTTTTAAAATATACGGAAAATATATAATTCATATTAAAGCAATTATATTCATCAAAGCAATATTAAAGGAATTTACATCACGATTTTAAATGTAAACTAAATTATGATTAATGTGACTGAGAAGAATGACAAATTAAAATTCAAAAAATGAATGTTGCTGCGAGACTTAATTTCTTCTTTTTCTATTTTTTTAATAAAATTCAAACTGAAAACCATATGAAGCAAAAGTCATAAGTTTTTGGAGACAAGCACAAGCGAATACAAGTATACAACTTACATATTTATCACATTTCAATAAAAATAATCCAAAAAATTTATTTTCGTCCTAAATGGATATTAATCATAGAATAAATTAATCAGATTTTGTGAAATTGTACATATTTTCTTTATTTATTTTTAACATTTGTAGAAAATTCCTTTACATATATAATGTTTATTAATCAAATTAATCCAAATGTTTATATAATTTACTCTTAATAATGTTATCCTCAATTAAAATGGTATATATCGGTTTTACTTTTGCTTTTGCTTGAGCTTCCTTTTCTGTTTTGTTCAAGTAGCTTTCTTTAAAAAAAAAGTGTCTCAAGCAGGCAAATTCCAACAAGAAATAAATGAATGCAAATGTAATCTTGGCCTACTTATCAGTTTACAATCAGCAAAAGAAAGAGTGA